TTTTTTTTTTTTTTTTTTTTTGGGGGGGGGGTAGGGGGTTGGACCCGGATATCTCGACTGTACACTGGACCTGGACGTCCAGACCATCTGCACTGTGATCTGGACGTCCATATCATAACCATGGTTCCAGGTGCCCTTATCTTAATCATAGTGATTAGTTCTCACCTTGCTAAAAGCCTTAAGCTAAGTCCTTCACAATGAACCTGCAAGATCGTATAGCTTCTCACACCACAGCAATTTCACACTCGTCACACCAACCAAGCGTGGGATAAGAAAACTTTGAAAATGGTTTGGAAATTCAGAGTTCAATACCATGACATCGCCTGTACGCACATTTGGGCGGCCATGGTCACCACGCAACCTCAAACACGTATGACTCTCTCTCTCTGTCTCTCTCTCTCTCTCTCTCTCAGCTAAGCTAAGCTAAGCTAAGCTAAGCTAAGCTATGGTGCTTGGGGCCATTCACCACTCTACTTGACTAGCTCTACCGTGGCAGCTCTTCTGCAGCAAGCCCGAATGGAAATTGTCTTGACACTTTGCTGCCCATGGACTTTTGTCCTTGGCTGCAGTGTTCCCAATCTTGGACTTTTCCGGAGTGGTACCTGCCCTTGCCGGTCACAGTTGGCCTTTGATCTATCCGGCAGTTTCTCTGACTTTCGTGGGACTGAGCTGCCAACTGGGTTGGACTGACCAACTGGACTGACTATACTGAAACACCTACCAGGTCCTACTGCCCTCGACCCAAACTACTGTACCTACTTGACGGGTAACGTGGTACATGGTACACTGCGACTTCGAGAGTTTTACTGAGACTTAAACGCTGAGAGGCATGAAATCCTTTCACTCCCGCCAGCCAAAATTTGAGGTCCTCCAAGAAAGCTGTAAACTTTATTACCTCTTTCTAAGATCCAAATTTGTTTCCTTGCTTGTTCATAGGACGAGACAATCCACGGCGTGTTCTTACTCAGTTCACCCTTCACAAGGCATCGGTCATCCTCCGGCTGTTGAAACTGAAAGCGAACATGAAAGTGTTGTGGCGGTCGTCCCCTTCTTCCTGATCTGTAGGTGTCCTGATCAATTATACAGTCAATATTGGACCTGCCATCCATATCAGGCAGAATAGTCAATCTACACGCGGTAAACAACATATCTGAAGTGAAAGGCAACAACTTGAAGGCATGGAACACAATTTTTGAGGGGTCCGTTAGGAGATTCATATAAAAAAAAGAAAAGATTAATAAAGGAAAAATGAGAGAAAAGAAAGAAAAAAAAGGGAAAAAAAAAAAAAAAAGGCATGGAACACAGGGTAAGTTGTAAGGTGCAGAGGTACATCGATCACATAGGATGGAGCGTCAGCATCGCGTACGACATCCAGGACTTCCCATGCTCCTCTATATGCAGGCATCAGCTTCTGTGACATCCCTTCTTTGTTTTCTTATTTCTTTTCTTTTAAGAAACTCAGGGGCCCATCTATTCTGGGAGGCATCAGTCCAGTTGCTTATAACCGGCAAGCATAGGTCAGGATACAAATAAAAAAGGGTAGAGAACTGCAGACAGTGAAAGGGCTTTCACTCTGTCGCCGCTTCTTTAGGCATAACCTCTTTGGACTTTACCTTGACTAGGTCGCCGGCAGCGAACTGTGGTGGTCTCCTATGCTTGCTGGCCTGTTTTACCACCTTCTGTGGGGTGTGTTTAATATTCTCAGCAACCTTCTCCAGCTCTTTCTCATACTTCAGGCCAATTCTCAGGTTTTCGTCGGTAGTCCCTATATCGGATCTGGGTTCATGCGGTTCATTCAGTGTTCTACTGGTTGATAAGTGCACTGATTTATCATATCCGCTGGCTACCCCTTATGTAAGTTCTCGTTCCCAATCAGTCTGATGTGGTCTAATATATGTATCGATAGTCTGTTGGAGCAATTTGTTCATCTTTTCCGTCTCGCCTTTCGTTTCTGGGTGTCTATCTGACAACATGGTGAACTGCGATCCGTGGACTTTCATTAACAGTCGCCTTTGCTCCCCTGTGAACCTAACGTCTCTATCACTGACTATGGTCACATGATGCCCGTCATCCTTGGCCCAGTGTGAAAGGTACGGACAAGGATAACGGGCATCCTTGACCCAATGTGAAAGGTACGGACAAGTAGCTAAGTCCGACTTCGCTTCTGCTGGCAGCCGATCAGATTTTGCGATCAGATTTTGCAGACTTGCTGAACCTGTCTACGATAACCATTACCTGACTATTCCCTCTCCTACTCTTGGTGTTGGTATCCATGAAATATATACTGACTGTCCATGTCTAAAGGGAATTATTGGGTAACGGTTTCAGTTGTAATAGGGGTGCCTGTGTTGTACCGATTTCTCTGACATACTTTTACACTCTGGGATGTATTTCATACAGTCGGATTTTGTTCCTGCCCACGTTTATGAACACAGCAAACTGGCGATCCCAAGCGACCACTGGTGTTGTGGCATTCACCAAGCACTATACTACAGATTTCTTCACCGTTTGGAATGCTTAGTTTGTCTCCTCCATTGGATGTGAGTGTGAGAAACAGCACTACTCATCGCTGATCCAGAGGACCCGGAGTACAAGCCTCGCGATTGTGGATCTTTGTCTTCCGGTAATAAATATTGCCCACCACCTTTATGTGACTTCGCGCTCAAAGATAAGCCTCTGCTTACCAGGCAGAATTTCCCCATGGACTTGGATCGTCTTCTTCCCATCCGTAATCTTATATCTTCTCTCCACTTCGACTTGCTGGTTGAGGGAGTGCTGCTACGGTCCAAGTTGACGGAGCTCTGCTAATCATATATCTTCTCTCCACTTCGACTTGCTGGTTGAGGGAGTGCTGCTACACTCCAAGTTGAAGGAGCTCTGTGAAAGATGGGCATTGACGTTTACCTCTGGCGAGTCGAAAACTCCCTGCGGTAACTTCTTGCCATAGCCATGAAGGAAGTTACGGCGCCACCTCTGTCTCACACATGGTGGGTGGCATCAGTGCTGGAGTTGCCACCACACTGCGGCATTGGCTCAGGTGCCAGCACATGTTTTCGCACCCGCCGGACGGCTGACCCGTTTTCCGTTCACCGATTGGCGTCGTTCTGTCTTCTCTTTTTCTTTTCGTCTCTGTTTTTTGCATGGTTACCAACCGGACGTCCGGATCCCGATCCGGACAGTCCGGTGTCCGGTGTCTGGTGTCCGGGTCCCCGATTTCGAAAAATTCGATTTTTTTGGGGGGGGTTCCCAGGCCGTTTACCTGGGCCTGGGGTACCCCGGAAAAATAATGCTGATGTTTTTTGAGAACCGGTACCCCGACCGGACAGGCGCTGAAAGGGACCTCTGTGTGATAACATTGGCACACGAGTTCACTGCTTTGCTCTTATTTGGATGGAATCTTGGTGCATTTGAGCTCTCTTCTTGATACATGACTATCTGGACTTCTGCGTGATTTTGCAACTTGATTTTCTGTCTATCGCTCTCGCTCGTATTCCTTGCATTTTTGTGACGTGGGAGGAGGGTCTGGCCGATGGGAGGGGCGACCAGGGATGGGAGGTCGATGAAGGATGGGAGGGAGATGAAGGATGGGAGGGCCATGAAGGATGGGAGGGGCAAGCAGGGATGGGAGGGCGATGACAAATGGGAGGGCGCTGAAGGATGGGAGGGTGATGAAGGATGGGAGGGAGATGAAGGATGGGAGGGGCGAGCAGGGATGGGAGGGCGATGACGTCAGACAGAGATGAGCGACATTGGATACTGTGTTGGTGGGGCCTGAGGGCGATGACATTGGCACACCAGTTCACTGCTTTGCTCTTATTTGGATGGAATCCTCGTGCATTTGAGCTCTGTGCTTGTTTTTGTTTGTTTGTTTGTTTGTTTGTTTGTTTGTTGTTGTTGTTGTTGTTGTTGTTGTTGTTGTTGTTGTTGTTGTTGTTTTTAATCCTGACAACCGGACACCGACACAGCAAACTGGACTGTCCGGTTCCGGATGTCTGGATGTCCGGTTTCATGTCCGGTTAACTGGACGTCCGGTTTGATACAGACACGGGTCCGGTGTCCGTGTCCCAAGTTCCGGTTGTCCGGGTCCGGGGCAACCATGGTTTTTTGTTTTCTTCTTTTTTTTGTTATCTTTACTCTTCCTCCCTTCCTCAAAAGGTAGCCCATCATACCATTTTACTTCTGCTGCTATTATTTCCAAGGTATTGTGTTTGTTGCTGGAGAGACTGAGGGCCTCCCCACACCCCCCTCGAAAGCGGGGAAGAAATTGAGGGGAGTCGCGAAACTTGAGAGGCCCCAGATGAACAAACAAAACATTTGTCGGTCCCCACCTTCATGGTTCCAAAAAAAAAAAAAAAAAAAAAAAAAAAAAAACGAGTTCCACAATAGGATGGCCGTGCCCTCTAGAAACCTGTGTTCGTTGGAGGTCATTTGGTACCCAATGCTTGGCGAAGTTGGTATTCTTCCGTTCAAACCTCAAATGGTTTGTGAATTTGTTTTAGACCTACTCTACTTAGATTATACTCACGCAATGACTTTTTCAACTGATATCTGGAGTCTGGATGTCATAAATTCATATGCATTTAACGGGTTTCTTGTTTGAAAACGATTCCAACATGGTTATGAGGAAAAAACGGGTCCATTTACCCCTACGATTAGGATAAGTGGTTTTGGAGAAAAAGGGGTCCATATGCCCCTATGATTAGGATTATTTCATTGGAGGAATGGAGTCAATGGACTCTTAGTTCATCATAATTGATATCTATAAAACGAATGAGCAGTTGTTAGAGTAATGATTAGAAATCAGAGGAATATAATAGTCAGTAGCACATGAGGGTAAACCTAATACCCCTTTACATGGGGTGGGAACAATGGATAATTATTAATTAGTTTCGGTCCTACTGGGCTGCGGCTCATTCCTGTGATCATATTGTGCACCTAGAGGCTTACAAAACATACTCACATTTGTTGATTCTTCACTCCCTCTTTGCCTACTCCCCTCCCCGTCCTCACCCTCTTCTCTCTGCCCCCCCCCCCCCCCCCCCCCCCCCCCCCCCCCCCCCTCCCCCCCCCCCCCCCCCCCCCCTCTCTCCCCCTTTCTCAATCCTTTGCCCCATGCTGGACCTCACCCCTCTATGATGCTTGTCTGTTGTGCTATGGATATATATGCAGGTTGTGACCGCTGATGGAATTGAGAATCTGACCTGCTGCCCTCGGGAAGTTCGAGACGTGGAGGCAGTTATGGCTGGAGCTCCTTGGCCTCCCAAGGTCTAAGCTTTTAAAGAATTTTCACTGAGGTTTGGGAATTTGCACTGAGTCTGATTGATGGATAAAAGTTCATAAAACCAATCATTCAGGGGAAAGAAAGGTGCGTTTACAATGGAGCCAAAGAAAAGAATTTGAAAACGCATGCACCTAGGGTTAGATCAGACACATAGGTATGGGCCAGGGCACACTGGAGCTATGTTTTTCTTAAGAAAGCTAAAACATGACCGTGCTCATTTCCAGGTTTATGGTTTTCAAGATCGAATGTGATCAGTTTCATGCTTTTTGAGTACAAACTTGCCACAGGTAGGGCCTAACCCTTGCAGTGGGGGCCATTGTCTTATGAACTAGTATGAAGTTAACCTGGAGTCCTCATTGAG